CTGCCTTCCAGAAAACAGCAAAACGGAGGCTTGCATAACCTTGCTCTGTTTTGCTATCCCTCTCTCTCATCAACTTTCTCTCTCTAATCTCTCTCATTCACAGAGCCTCCCTTGAAGCTCATTTACTTACAATCAACATGAAGAGTTTTGATTTACATTTCTCAAGAACAATGATAGACCCTTTTAAATTTCATGCGTTCCTACTCACTAGTTTCTTTAATCTTCTTCATGTTCGAAGGAATAAATGAAAAAGTTTCGACCCCTTTATTTGTTTTCCAAATATTATTTAAAACATGTTTTACAGACTTAATGGCATAGTTTTAGAAGTAAGAATCTTACCAACTAGCATGACTGGAATTTTTTGACGTTAATAAAGGTTCTTCAGTGTTAACTTGCCTTGCCTTGTCTGCTAAAAACGCCATTTGGCTATTGAATGCTTTAAGCTCCCTTCCTTTTGAAGTTGCTCCCTCTGCTAGCTCTCAAGTTATTGCATTTATAGGGATTTGAACTTTTGTCTTTATCTTTGTATTCTCTTCCGACAGATGTCTTAAAGGTTGCATGAGAATTTTCAGGTGTTAAAATTATGGATAGAGAAGCAAGGAAATGGAAGAGAATAGCAACAACTTGGTGCTTTTCTGGTGATTAGCATACAAGGACGAATGTTTAAGAAGGGAACAAACGGATAGAGAAATGACAGAGTCAAGCATAATCTCACAGGGAGAAGAGGAATCTCATGGAGAGACGAGCTTCTTTGGGTCCAGATTTGAAGAATTGCAGTACTTAGCTACCTATTTTAGTATCTAGGAATATATGTATATATATATACATATATATCTATCAGTGAATAAATAAAAAAACTTCTGAAGATGCATAAATAAAAATTTTAATTTTAGTTTTTTTTTTTTTTTAAAAATATATATATATATATATATATATATATATATATATAGCCTTGACAAAATTTCCCTTATCCTTGTTCTTGCCATTTTTGTTCTTCTCCTCCTAGCTTCTATAACTCGTACCGCCAAGACGAACCTGCTGCTGATCCCGCTTTTCTTGCCAAGTGAATGTACCCACTGCACTACCCAACTTCTCCTCCTAGCTTCTTCTCCTAGCTTCTATAACTCGTACCGCCAAGACGAACCTGCTCCCGATCCCGCTTTTCTTGCCATGTGAACGTACCCATTGCACTACCCAACAAGCAAAAACCATTCTGCCTTGGCATTTACTTTTATCAGATACGGCACCCTTAGTTAGAAAATAAGGGAAGTAAAGGGCAATAAGACAGTATATGATACAGAACTCTTATCAACTCTTCAAAATTGTAGTGGTTTTTCAAATTTGTCTAATTTTGTAGTTATATAATGACATTACACATATACAGACTTTGTACAATATTACCAGCTGAAGTTCAAAACTTCAGTCAAGTTGGAAGTCTTCAAATTTTACAGAGCTCCAAGGTCAGGATTCATAATGACACAATTCCCAGTTGCAAGGCAAATGCATTTCAGCCACTCGCATTGGCTTGACAGGGATCCTCCAAACTCTTTAGCATATTTTCTCTACAGATTATGAGGAGTTTTTAAAAACTTTGAAGCGGGATCGTTGCCCTTTTGATCTGGCTTCAAGAAGCTTTGCTTTCAACGTGTTATCCTTCAATCCAGGAGGTAACTTCGTAGAAGACTCAGATATACCAAGATCCGGGGTTATGATTTTTGGCATCCATTGCCATACAGGACTTGCTTGATTCCTCCGTGCAGAGTAACTGCAAGAAGCCTCACCATAATCATTCTCTGAATGTTGTATGTTCCCACCTTCTGATAACAATATATGATTCCTTATCATGTTTTCCATTACATAATTTGAATTTCCATGAATCTCCTCAAGTTTATTTTTTCTTTCATGACCTCCCTCTTCAGAGATTTCGCAATTTTCAGATCTTTGGGAAACACTTATTTCCACCGGCTTCCCCTGACCACTGTGTCCCTCTTCCTTATCCACCGCCTTGGACTTCTTATTTCCATTGCAAGACATGGTCCAAGCCATTTGCTCTTCAAACTTCACTTGCAAGCTTGACAGTTTTCGACTTTTTATGTTTTCCTGAGATGCAGGTTTGCCGTTCGCATGATTCGATTTTACAGTCTCATCAATATGGCCATCCACAGCTTCATCCCCATAGGAGTTGAGGCCAGCATTGCTTGGTTTGTTGAGCTCAAAACAATTTGATCCGCTCCCTGCAGAATCTTCTCCATTGCCCACATCTTGGAGTGCACTCACTGTGTCATTCAGAATGACAGATTCTAGCGAATGGCGGCGGTCCTTCGGTGTTGGCAATGTATAATCAGTAACCTTGAAATTTCCCTTCCGCTTGGCTTGAAGGAAGGTCTCTATTTCAAACCCTAATTTCTCTACTATTGATTTGTTCTCAACAAAACCAGACTGAGCTTCCTCTAGCTTCATTTGCATCCTTTCATCAAGCCAGGATTCAGATATATGGAGAATTAAACGATCATGATCAGCCCTCCCTATCCAATCTTTTTCTGATTTCTGTTTCAAAGAGTGAACCTCCTGCTCATAGTCTTTTATTTCTTTAGCAAATTCATCACAAAGGTTCTCCAAAAGCTTCCTTGATTTGGTTTCCCTTTCTAGCTCTTTCAAAGCATTAGAAAGAGAAGACTTCACCTCAGAAAGCTCCCGAGCTAACTTCCGATGCAAGCTCTCCGATCGTTTCCTTAACTTTCTTTCATCTTCTAACTCGTCCCTCACAGACTGCATAGCAGCTTGGATCCGGTCGTGCTCCTTAGTCTTCCTGACTACTTTATCTTCTGCTATCTGCTTCATTAAATCATCTATTTCATGTCGATCTGCCTGCTGATCTTGGAGCAGCTCTTTGATTCTGACACGGGCATGGTCTAGCTCTGTCTTCAATGCTTTTATTAATGAGATATTAGATGAATGCTGTTCTTCTAAACTCCAGATTCGGTTTAATACTTTGAGCAGCTCTGTAGATGTTTTAAGATTGTAATTTGACCCACCAATTCTTCCCGTGAAGTCCAAAGAACTAGTAGGAGTAACTGCAGGGTTATAAGGCGCCACCTACAAAGGAAACATGTCAGATTATGGAGGAGCTTAGATTAGGTGGAGTCGGGATGGATGAAAAAATAAAGCCCCATGAAATGCCATTAACTTGCTAACACACCTTCTACCAAAAAAGATTAAATAAAAAAGAGCAACTTGCTCAGCATGATACTGATTCTACCAAATACCAATTGAGTAAGTCTGGTACGAAATAGATGGTAGTCTTTTAACAAGAGGCAACACCAACATTTCCAGCATTCTCAGACAGTCAAAATTGTCTCTTAGCTCAAAATTTCTTTACCCAATGAAAACATCCAGGATGAATATGCAATGCTCCTTTTGAAATGGATTCTATTCCATGTCTATTAAATAGCTGTTAGGTGCACAAAATCTAGCTGGTTTACCGGTCAGGTGTATCAAAGAAGGACCCATGGAAAAAAAAAAAAGCAGAAGAGCTGCAGCTCCAACCCTACCAAAAGCCTCCTCTGCCACTATTTAGGACCTTTAGGTTCCTTACAAGTGGAATTTAGGAAATCAGATGATTAGGAAGCTCATATGAGAATCTCCCAAATAATAGTATTTGAGTTATTTTAAATTAAGATTGATCTCCTATGTGCCAGATATGAATGCTCTGTAAATTTCATAAGGTACTACTTACTTAACTAAAGTTCAATTCTGACTTTCCAGATAAGTTTACTGAAGGAACTGACCCTAAGCTCACTTTCTCAAATACAAATGCCAAGAAAGAAATTCCCAGGATAAGTAGAAAAATGCCTTTCATTTCTTTTTAAGGCCTTTGTCCTACTCATAGTCTCAGTCAAGCCTATTGAAATTCGGGTTTTTATTAACCACCAACACATGCTTTTTGTTGGCACTGAAAAAAGGTTATTCAATTCATTAATGCATTCTAGTATTTAGAAATTGGTTAAGTTTCCTAATTTCTACCAAGTAGGAATTGGTTAATTTCTGAAATAGTAGGTGAAATGCTCCTTATAGGTACCTATCTTAATAATGAATGAAGCATCTAACAATTACTCTTCAAAATTAGAGAACTCTCTAGGAGATGTGGGTTCTCTCTAATGAATCATAGACCATCAAGTTTGAAAATCTAACAGGCAGGCTTCACGTTTCTCAAAAAGTTTTTAGTTAAGAAACCTGTGACCCAATCCGAAAGTAAAGAACTAATCTCACGCTTCTCAAAGGCGAAATTTTTTAATCATTAACAGGATCATTTAGAAGAGGCTAGAACATGGATTCGAGTCTGAATTCCTGGGCAGTATACAACAAGATGATCTTATGCATCAAATATGTAGAGAACTCATTATATTCACTGTGCCTCAAAATGGAATTTTTTGTTTTTACTTTCTTTTTTCTTTTTTTCGTTCTTTTGCTAATCAAACCGGATTCTGTTGAATGATCATCTCTGATCGGAACAGCATTTTTCTTAGAAAGCATCACCTTTCCATTTTTGTGATGTATTTTATAGGTAATTAAGGAAGGAGAAAATTTCAGGGGGGAACAAATTATGAGAACAATGTTTACCTCCATTGAACTACCAAAACTTGCAGGAGATACAGGTCGCAATGCATTGTTACTTCTTTCAATTAATCGATGATGTTGCATCAGTGATTGAGCAATATGTCTTCTCAAACTGCCTGCACTCTCTGGCTGAAATATAAATGACGAAAAAGATCAATGTTGGAGGAAATCTAGCCTCTTGTAACATTAGCCTTCCAACCTCTTTGGAAATGGCTAGAAACATCTTACTGAAGCCTTTCCGCAAGTTGGGGGTAAACTAAATTTAGTTGGATGGACAATGATATATCAACTAAACAAACTCACTTGTTATTTTCAGTATGCAACTCTTAACCATCCAAGGCTATCATATCCCGCAACCATTGGTTTCTAACTAGAATAAACTGACACATTCAGCTTCTTAGGTTTAATTGCAGAAGAATTTTGAATTATTTCAGCAGCCAGCAAGGTTTTGAAATGTATAATAAATTTAGAAAACTTGCCTAATTAAGGAAAGCAAAGCAACTAACCAAGGAATCAATCATATGATATAATATTCCCATTATTGTCTTTTTGTTTCTGTGCTATAAATTTTACTAGAAGATCCATATTAACTATTCAACCAGTACATACAATCGAATATAGCTCCGCAGATCTCCGAACTGGTCAAAACTCCTTTCAGAGAAACTTCTTTCTTTTTCCTTCACATTGTAACATAATAACCCTAGTAACTAACTCAAACACAAGTAGCTCCACAAGATCCAAAACTCTCTGCCAAGACGAAAAAACAAAGCCAAAAACAACTAGTCCCATAAACATAAACCACTCATCAACACGTGATCCTCCAAGTCAACTACAACCACCACAAACAAAAATGAAAAAACCAAATAACCCAATTGAAGAATTGTCACAACAGAATAATTAAAAAACTTAAGTAAGGCTGTAATACTCAGACGCGCGTAGATGTAGATACTAGGGCATATGTCTACCTGGTCGGAGGAGCTGGGGCAGGGATCAGCAAGAAAGTGGGAGAGTGGAGACTCTTGTCCTTCAAAGCTGGTGTCTATGTTGATG